TCGGGGGTCAATGCCCCCGCGGCTCGGTCTGAGACCAGGCCTCGTGGTGGATCAGAGCTTGATCAACCAGGCTGTTACTGCTGGCCGCTCGCAAACTGACGTGCGAACCACAGCCCGGCTGGTTAGGTACTGATTTTAGGTGCCTGTCCAGTGCCTTCTTGAAAACAGTCAGGGGTCTACTGGTAATCCCCTTTATGTATGCTGGGAGGCAGTTGAACAGTCTTGGGCCCCTGACCTATAACGTTTTCAACACTGGTCAAGTATAATTTTATCCCTACACTGAAATGCATTAATGGTTATAATTATAACCATACTTTTTGAAGGGGGTGGATCGGCAAGCCAGCGGACAGCCTCGGTCAGATGACCCAAAGTTCCAGCTGTGGGTCCTCATACGACTAAAACCCGCGTCAGGAAACATGGTCAGCTCCAGCTGTGGGTCATAACACGACTAAAACCCGCGTCAGGAAACATGGTCAGCTTCAGCTGTGGGTCATCATACGACTAAAACCCGCGTCAAGAAACATGGTCAGCTCCAGCTGTGGGTCATCACACGACTAAAACCCGCGTCAGGAAACATGTCCTGTTTCCTGACAAACATTACCTAACCTAACCCTACACCGAGAGAAAACCTCACGGTGGATTCTGGTGATTATTTTACCCAAGGCCGGTCTCAGACCAGGCCTAGACTGGTAAGGAATTATTATATGATTAAAAACAATTAAGAAGCACATTGGAAACTAAAGGTGTGTATATACTAAATGTAAGTAGAGGTTTATAAGACTTACTGTCATGATAAGTGTCCATGAGAAAAAAAGATGAGCAATCGTGTCAGAGTTCAAAACAAACATCAGGTTTCCATTTCACACTCAGGTGACAAAGCGGTAGTATCTCTCTGGATGGTTGTCTACCAACCTAGGCTTATCTTTGTTGAGTTTCGAGAGCCCTTCAACTCCCGGAGCCCGGCTATAGGCTAGACTAGGCTACATTATTATAGACACAATAGTGATCAACTATTAATACCTAAGCTAGAATAAAAATGATATTTTTATACTAAAATATACTGAGTATATACAAAGTAGACTACATATAAAAAATACAAAAAGAGATATAAAGTTGCTTTGTTAAAGATTTGCCACAAATGTTGAGGCATCGGAAGACGGTAGGCTATGGCAAACAGCGGGTAAAATGAAGACATTATTATTATTATTCACGGGGGAGTGCTAAATCCGTGGGGGTTAAACAGAACTTGTGAAATGAGAGGTAATCGGATTCGATCTGAGGAAGGAGACTGTAGTTCCAATTCCCTGGATCGAGTACTTCGCTAGCCTTTCGAAAAGTTGTTACTTACACGAGCACAAGTGTGTGTCTGACATATCACCTACGTAGAGGGATGCAGGGCTGGTGAACCTGTTGCATGCCAGAAAAATTCCTTGGCACGCGACATTCCTTGCTCTCCCAAGGCTTTTTACCCGATGTATTTATATATATATATATATATATATATATATATATATATATATATATATATATATATATATATATATATATATATATATATATATACATATATATATATATATCATATATATATATATATATATATATATATATATATATATATATATATATATATATATATATATATATATATATATATATATATATATATAGGTAAAATTGGTCAATTAGCAAGGACTCATTTAAAATTAAGTCCTTTCTAAAATTTATCTCTTATTAATTTAAAGATATATTGTTTCATTTATGTTGATGTAAAAATTAATAATTTTTTACCAAAAGAGCCTTAGAAAACTTACCTAACATTATTATAACAAGCGCAATTTAATTTAGCCTAATCGAACTAAATATATTTTAGATAAGTTTACAATAATTTGATATAAACAAACGAAATGAATTCATTTTTTTTCGTTAGATCCAGAATGATTTTGCAAAATTATTGCATACACAAATTTTCGTTTGCCTTATTCGGCAAGAAGAGCATTGCTATTGAAGCCAAAATAGCAAGTTTTATCTATTCGGCACATCATTATATATACAAATACAACAAATGGAAGGTACATTTACACTATGTCATTACCGAGAAGTGGGGCTGGAACTAATATACCATGCTAGAGTATTCAGCTTTGGTGCCATTAACTGTACACCATACGACTTCCTATATAAGTTGAATCGAAGGTCTTATCCTTCCTATGCTAATTCAACCCGGAAACTCTCGTAGTGTATGCTCGTGTAGGAATATTTTCATCTTACATACAGAAACACTTTGGAATGCGTGTGACCAACGGTAACGACCTGGTCGAGGACCTGTCACGGGGGCGTTGACCCCCGAAACAACCTCTAGGTATATAATATATGGTGTATATAACATATTGGGAGGTACCACCTCTAGAAATGTCCTGGGGACCCTCATCCTCAGAGAAAAGAATAAACTTGCTTCAGGGAAAACTCAAGGTTCTCCTTGAAGCTGTAAATGAATAATTTTGCTGATCAAAATAACTATAGGCAAGCGGAAGATCTTTTCATAAAATCCAAAATTTGGGCACGCTTTCAGAACAGGTTGACCAGCCCTGGTCTATGGGTAGAAATCTATATGTAAAAGACTAACATACCAGCTGCTAGATAAAGTTGCGTCAAACTACTACTGCTACCAAGCGTAGTTCCTATCACATAATTAATATAAGCAACACTGACAAAGACTAATAAAACCGCTAAAACTTTACGCGGATACTGACGTTGTTTCAAGGCTCCCACCTACCGCCATGATGACATCCGTTTCTCTGCATGAAGGCAATGTTACGCTTATGATTGTCTAAAATTATAACCTCCAGTACACTGTTGCATGCAAAATTACAAATACCGTATTTTCACACTTTTGAGATTAGATTAAAACTCAAAAGTTTCATTACAAAAATGATTAATACAAGCCTGTAAGTGGTCGAGGTGCATTGCGGGTTCCGAACGCGTGGGAACTTCTAGTGGGGTAATGGGTGTTCGCCATTGGTCGCTCCTCAAGGTTGACGACACCAGGGAAAATCACCCCGCATTCAGGCTTCCTTTGTAAGTTTTTGTTTAGACTGCGTAGATAACATACATTGTCTTTATAATGGTCTTGAGTGCACATAAAAATATAGTACACCTTGTAGACTGAACCTACTACAACCCATAAAGTCGACTTATTTCCATTGTGTTAATATATTTTTAACAATGTCTGGAGGGCACACGTTATGGGTACACACATACAGTATATTATGTAGATCTTACCCCGGATAAACCAATAGGGACCTCTTGCTTAAACCCTCGCATTATTGGGAAAGAGTTAATAGAAATAACTGAGGCACCATTGTAAGTATACGTCATCAACCACTGAATAAAAGGTCAGTTGAGATGGAAAGAGAGATCAGTATTAGGCTTACAGCAGTATATGACTCACACGAGGACCAAGGTGTGCCTCACTCATGCATGCTAGGGAAGGGCTTTTGATCCGAGGAACTGTTATCCTTCCCTCTTTCTCATAAAACTTGATTGCTTTCTGATTCCCCACAGGTACTGTGACGCTTACGGGTTTTACGCTCCTCCATGAAAATAATCAGACAGAAAAAAGGTACAGGGAAAATTTGTGAAAATTCCCCTTAAGCGTGAATGTATTCTACCACTTCTTATTGCGTGTACGTTCTCTACCACTTTCCAGGTGGTACGCAGTCCCACGTATGAACCACATCCCGGCTGATTAGGTGAGTACAAATAGGAAGGGTTTAGCGCTTAACACGAATTATTTTTTATTTAGTAACTTCCTTGAGGAACCTATCAACTTCCCTGTTGAAGACAGCAAGAGGCCTGTTGGTAATCCCTCTTATGTATAAAGGGAGGCTGTTGAAAAGTCGTGGGCCCTTTACACTTATTGTGTTCTCTCTGTGTACTCGTGGCACCCTTGCTTTTCATTGGGGGTTATTCTGCACCGTCTGCCGAGCCTCTTATTTCGTAGGGAGTGATACCTGTATGCAGTTTCGAGACTAGACTCCAGGATTTTCCAGGTGTAAATTGTGTTGCATCTCTTTCGTCTATGTTCCAAGGAATACATGTCGTGAAACTTAGTGTTCCCAGTATTAACACTTTGCCTCGAACAAATGCAAAACAAGTCATGGGGAAAATAGGAGGGCAAGAACGGGCATGGGGAGGGAGAAAAAGATAAATGCCATAGGAAAGGGAGAGGGACATGGGAAAGGGAAAAAATAGGACATGAACGGGGGAAGAGAAATGGCGAGAGAGATCACAAAGGGGAAAAGGCAAGAGGGCATGGGAGAAGGGAAAAAGAAAGACATGGGGGATAAGTAGAGCAAGAGGGTATAATACCTTTACCACTGATATACCTTTAATGGGTTTCGAGAGCTTTCCTACTCCGGCCCTGGCCAGGCTTGTATGGGAGAGACAAAAGAGAGATAGCAAGAAGGAATAAGAGTATGGGAAATGAGGGGAGGAAGATATCACTGGAGAAGGGAAACAATAGGGGAGGAACGAGGCCATGAGTGAAAAAGATGGAAAAAGAGCGAAGGTAAACAGGGTATGGGAGGATAAAAAAGAAAGATGGCAAGAGTGGGCAGAAGAGTTATAATTGCCGTTATCTGGCAGTTTAAAACATCACTTTATAGGCTGAGTCTTATTCATATATTCAACGAGGAATCACTAAACCCATAGGGTCATGAAGTGCTTAGGGAATGAGAGGTAAACTCCCATTCCTTGAATAAAGAGCTCTTCACTAATTTGGCCTCAAATGCAGATGCTTTACTAAATATCCCGATTCACTGATGCATGGTTGGTTAATTATTCATTGATAAGTGCTAAATCCGTATGGGTGGTACGGTACCTAGGGAATGAGAATTAATCAGGTTTTATATAAAAAGGAAGGTCAGCCTCAATTCCTTGAATCAAGAGCCCTTCAGTATCAAGACACTCCAATTGAAGGAACTAATGCATGATAAACCTACCTTGGTGTGCGGGCGTCTCCTGGTGGAGGGTCGAGTGTCTCTCTGGGAGCATAGAGGGGTGGAGGGGCGAGAGCTGCCATGAGGGAGGTGACGATGATGGAGGCGGCAGCGGGGGAACGCACGGTGGAGAGCCCCACAGGTGGTGCAGAGGGCAGCGATCGCCGCAACTCAGTCTCCTCGCTTACACCAATAGTATCCTCGCTCCCACAGTGGCTACGGCGAGGTGATCCACGCCCCGATAACCTTAGGCGTCGCATGCGTCTCATGCTCCTCCGAACAATCCTTGATACTGCTGCAGCAAGACCAGTTTTAGAGTCTTCGGCAGACTCACAGTCAGCATCGAAGTCGCAGACGTCAGAAGTGGCGTCTAACTGGTCAGGACGCCAGATGCCCGCTCCACCCACTGCCCCTATTTCATGCCATGAGCAATCCTCACTTTCACTGCAGGCAGCCGAAGGTGTAGCTAGGTTGGGCTGGCCTGAAGGTGCAGTCATATTACTGGCGGCGGCGGAAGCAGCTTCCGTACAAATGGGTTGGTCCTGAGTGAAGGACCTAGAGTACGCCGGGTCATCTTCGTCACAAAGGAATGTCGGGCGCTGCTCAGCTGTGCTTCCCTGCCCCTCACACGTGTAAGAACATGGGGCACCATGCTCTCCGGCTGTGTTCTCGTGATCTGAATTACCTGTCGCACTCACGTCATCACTCTCAATAGCCAGGGCGGGCGCAACAGGTTCCTTCCCCCAACCCCCAATTAGACTCTGGTCGTTGTCCTCCGTACAGCTGCGATCACCTATGGCGCTCTCGCACTCCACGTCCTGTTGTCTCTGCTCTGGTGCCTCCTGACCCCCTCCTTCGACAAACGTAGCCTCTGGCGTGTGGGGCCGGGATGAGCTTACAGGTTCCGTAAATTCTAGACTAATGTGATCCGATTCCCTTACGATGGACAATGGATCTTCCCTGATCATCTCTGATTCACAAGCACCTTTATCCTGTTTCTGAAGTTCAAATTCACTATCATCCACATTACCCTTACTACCACATTTGCCCTCACCCTCCTCAACTCCAGTCTTGTCATCGTGTACTAGATCCTCAGGCCTTAAAAGTGTGAACTTGGCCTCGTTCTTTATGATTCCCTCAAACAGTTCGTCTAGTATATCACACTCAATAGCGCCAATATCAAGCACACTACGGTCTTCACAAGCACTAAAACTATCATACCTTGCACCGCCACTTCTGTCGACCTCGCCAAAATCACCAGTAACGAAAGGTTTGTGCATTTCCTCGAGTAAATTAACTGTAGCACCATCATCTTCACACTTGCCGAACTCAACACAAGTATAAGGCTTCTGCATTTCTTCCAAAAAGTTTCCGAAAGCTTCTGGATCCACTTTATTTACTAAAATACCCTCACTTTCTCCTAATACGTTATCTAAGGACCTATCATCGTCTGGTGTGATCTTAATGGTAACAGCAGAGGCTGAGTCACAAGGAGGGACTATATAACTGCTAGACCTGTCTTGGTTAGCGTTCAGATATACCGAAGTGGCTCTGGGATTGCGCTCGTGGGCGTCGCCGCTCACGTAAATGGAGTGAGAGTTGTCGAGCAGCAGGATAGGAGTAACGGTGTTGTGCTGCGGCCCGGGACTCCACTCACACACTTCCGGTTTGCTGGTGACTTCAAGACTTGATGAGCCACTCGTCAAAGACCTCCAGTGTTGCGGCTCTGCTCCAGAACTGCTTGACATATTCGACTCAGGGTTCAAATTCACATTTGATGGGAAATTTAACTCTGAGTTGGAATGAGGATTCAGCTGGAAGCTCAGATGTGGGTTTAACTGAGGGCTCAAGAACGGGTTCACCTTGAGTTTCTCCTGTGGCTGGTCAGCGGCGGCGGCTGTGATTGTGAGGGTTGTGGAGGGTAGCTTAACAGCAGCACCAGCGGCGGGTATAGCACCAAACTGGTCAGGAAAATCCAAACACATTATCTCAGCTTCATTTTCATATCCCTCTAAAGTAACAGTATCATTTCTATAGCTTTCCAAGCTGCCATCCCCGCAGGATGCTGCCACAGCATCTACATCCAGCGTGTCTTGGCTCCCCAAATCTAAAGTACCAATATTATTTCTGTAGCTTTCCAGGCGGTCATTCCCGCAGGATGCTGTCACAGCATCTACATCCAGTATCTCTCGGCTCCCCAAATCATGTCTTGAAGTAATATCACCATCTTCAGGGCTGCTTCCATGAAAATTCTCAGACTTCAGACAGTCAACATATTCAGTGACATTTTCGCCACCTTGTTCGGTTTCCAAATCTGTTGACTGTGGTCTGATAACGCTGTCTGCAGTTTGAGCATCTTCGTGACGGGAGTTCTGGGATATGGGGTCATCTGGATGTGAGGTAACGACGGTGTCTTCCATGGAAGAGCCGTGGTCGACGGCAGAGTCAATCACGCTCTCTTCCACGTCGCTGAGGGCGTCATCCGTGGGTTCCTCGTAGATGAAAGAGAAATACTTGTCTACAACACCACCCAAAGCCTTTCCCTCATCCACTACTGCATCTACGGCACTCGCCATAGTGCCAGTGTTACCTACGATGATACACACATGGATGGTGACACAACCTTACTTTACACCTACACACACACGACTGCTGCAAGAGCATCCATATACATTTGGGTCTGGGTGACCGTCGTTCTCGTACAGTAATGTCTAGCTTTAAACAAAACGTTTAATAAAATTCATCTTTTGTGAATGGTATTGGCTCTCTTAAAATTTTATATTAAAATCTTAATAATTTTGGTCTCGATAAAGAGAAAATCATGGATTAAGCATAAACATTCTTAATAAGTATTGTCCGTCTGGCAGTCACCTGACCGAGTTCAGCAGTAACTTTCTTACTGCCAGGGCCTTTAATCCTTCCTCTTAATTACTCAAACTTCTCTTTGGTGTCTTATTTAATTACACTTTTAAATCAGCAAGTGAATAATATTGCTAAATAACACTTCGTACAAATTTTTCACAACTATTGTAAGATAAATGGTAGATTATAATACAAAATATTCGACTAACTGGATGCTGGTGGTTGCCCGGGGCAACGAACAGCACGTGTGACAACAGTATAATACAGTGACCGACTACCTGCCTGGCCTTTGCTCCTTAATACATTTTATTATATATACGTACATGTATATACTGTATGAATATATTGTATGTATATATATATATATATATATATATATAATATATAATATATATATATATATATATATATATATATTATATAATATATATATATATATATAAAATGTCGTGCCGAATAGGTAAAAATTGGTCAGTTAACAAGAACTCATTTAAGATTAAGTCCTTTCTAAAATTTTCTCGTATAGGTTTAAGATAAGATAAGATAAGATTTCGTTCGGATTTTTAACCCCGGGGGGTTAGCCACCCAAGATAACCCAAGAAAGTCAGTGCGTCATCGAGGACTGCCTAACTTATTTCCATTGGGGTCCTTAATCTTGTCCCCCAGGATGCGACCCACACCAGTCGACTAACACCCAGGTACCTATTTGCTGCTAGGTGAACAGGACAACAGGTGTAAGGAAACGTGTCGAAATGTTTCCACCCGCCGGGAATCGAACCCGGGCCCTCCGTGTGTGAAGCGGGAGCTTTAGCCACCAGGCCACCGGGCCACCTCCACCAGGCCACCGGGCCACACTTTTTTCATTTATGTTAATGTAAAAATTAATAATTTTGTACCAAAAGACCCTCAGAAAACTTACCTAACCTTATTATAACAAGACAATTTAATTTAACCTAATCCAACTAAATATATTTTAGATAAATTTACGATAATTTAATAATAAACACAATGTAATATTTATTCGTTTGGTTCAGAATGTTTTTTGCGAAATTATTGTATACACAAATTTTCGCTTGTCTTATTCGGCAAGAAGAGCTTTGCTATTTAAGACAAAATCACAAGTTTTACCTGTTCGGCACGACATATATATATATATATATATATATATATATATATATATATATATATATATATATATATATATATATATATATATATATATATATATATATACTTCCTCAGGTGTGCACCCTCTTTTGACAACCCAACACTCGACGAATATGACGCACACCTGAGGTCAACCCTTAAGAAGGCACTGAACCTGTCACTAGAGGATCAGCAATGGGATCAGGCAACCCTCCCAGTACGACTGGGAGGTATAGGGGTGCGCAAAGCAACGCATGTTGCTTTACCTGCTTTTCTGTCTTCATGTTTGGCTTCCAGTGCTTTAGTCAAGAAGATTGTTCCCGAACGCTTGGGAGACATGGTAGGAGCTCAAGACCCCAGGTTTACTGAAGCAGCGATTCGGTGGGACACCCTTACAGATTCCTCCAGTAGACCAGCTCCTCCCAAAGAACACAAACAGTCCCACTGGGACAAACCGATCATGGAAAAAATCGCCAACACAATGCTCTACAACGCCTCAGGAAAGGACAAAGCTCGTCTCCTGGCAGTGAAGGCACCACACTCGGGAGATTTCCTGTTTGCTGTTCCCAATTCCTCCTTGGGCACTCGACTAGGCCCACAGGCCATTCGGATTGGTGTTGCTCTTCGCCTAGCCGCCCCCATCCTCACCAAACATAGGTGTATTTGCGGCAGGGCGACAGCTGATCAATTCGGACTTCATGGTCTCGTGTGTCACACGGCAGAAGGGAAGTATGCCAGGCATGAGGAGGTCAATGATATCATAAAGAGAAGCCTCGCCACAGCCCGTTGCCCAGCTCAACGGGAACCCCAAGTGCAGAGGTCTGACGGAAGTCTAAAGCGTCCTGATGGAGCCCCTATGCTACCTTGGAAGGATGGAAAGCAGATTGCCTGGGACTACACATGTGCCGCCACATTGGCAGACACCTACTTGCCATACTCCGTAGTGGAAGGGGGTGGAGCTGCCAGCCACAGGGAGACTCAGAAAATCCGCAAATATGAAGACCTTCCCCCTTGCTATAACTTCATCCCAATAGGGTCAGAGACCCTTGGAGCATGGGGCAAGTGTGCTCTAAAATTCCTAATAGAGCTGGGTGAAAAGCTCATCATAGAAACAAAGGACCACAGGGCGACCAACTTCCTCTTCCAGAGACTCAGTGTTGCGATCCAGAGAGGAAATGCCTGCAGCATTCTGGGCACGCGGCCCACCGCCGGGGAGCTGGACGAAGTATTCGAGATGTAGCTCTGAGTTACCTATGTTGTTTTACTTTGTATCGTAGTTTTGTGAATGTTCTGTCAATGTATTTTGTCTTTAAATAAAATATATATATATATAATATAGGGGGTGGTAGGAGAAAATTCTCAAACAGCTTCAGGGAGAATATTGAGTTTTCCCTGAAGCAAGTTTATTCTTTTCTCTGAGGATGAGGGTCCCTGTAACAGTTCTAGAGGTGGTACCTCCCTATATATATATATATATATATATATATATATATATATATATATATATATATATATATATATATATATATATATATATATATACTACACTGTATGTGTGTATATACTGTATGCATGTACGTATATATTGTATATGTATATATTAACTTGACTCACGAAATCGGTCTGGAGTTGTGAGACTGACCGCGGGTTCAAATCCCGCCCGTGGTATGGTTTATGTATATATATACTGTACGTATGTATATCCTGTATAGATATATTGTATATACTGTATGTATATATATATATATATATATATATATATATATATATATATATATATATATATATATATATATATATATATATATATATATGTCGTGCCGAATATGTAAAACTGGTCAATTAGCAAGAACTCATTAAAAATTAAGTCCTTTCTAAAATTTTCTCTTATATGTTTAAAGATATATTTTTTCATTAATGTTAATGTAATTTTTTTTAATTTTGCTACAAAAGAATCTTAGAAAACTTACCTAACCTTATTATAACAAGAACAATTTATTTTAGCCTAACCCAACTAAATATATTTTAGATTTGTTTACAAAAATTTAATACTAAACAAACACAGTGAAATATATTTTTTTTCGTTAGGTTCAGAATGATTTTGGCGAAATTATTGCATACACAAATTTTCGCTTGTCCTATATGGCAAGGTGAGCGTTGCTATTTAAGCCAAGATCGCAAGTTCTGCCTATTCGGCACGACATATATATATATATATATATATATATATATATATATATATATATATATATATATATATGTGTGTGTGTGTGTGTGTGTGTGTGTGTGTGTGTGTGTGTGTGTGTGTGTGTGTGTGTGTGTGTGTGTGTGTGTGTGTGTGTGTGTGTTTGTGTGTGTGCATACACAAACTGTTGTAAAAAGGACAAGTCGGTCACTCGAATACTGCATACGTAGACAAGGTCTACCTCTAGTGCAAAAGATACCTTGATAGCACAGAGATGGAGTATACATGAGGTTTGAGGGGTATGTTACAAACACACATTTCTATGTGTTTCTCAAAACTTACATTACAAAAAACTCATCTACTATGATCAAAAATTTTAAAGGGGTGGACTGGAAAGCCAGCGGAACGCCTCGGTCAGATGACCAAACGCTCCAATGGCAGGTCATCATCTGACTAAGACCCACGTCAGGAAACACTTTTCCTGTTTCCAGATGAACGTTACCTAACCTAATCTCATCTAGCTCCTCAGAGCTGGCGCATGCACCCAGGATACAACAGGCATTACCCCTCTGAACTTCAGCACTGAGTCGTTGGAACAGAAAACTAGCTGACCATGGATCCTTAGTTGCCCTGATAAGTATTTTGCCTAGCTCCTTGAAGAACTTGAATGCACTGTTTCCTCATGGGGAAGGACTTTGGAGTAATAATGTCAGAGGATCTTACTTTCAAAGATCACAACAGTGTCATTATCACAGCTGCAAGAAAAATGATAGGATGGATATTTAGAACCTTCTAAACAAGGGATGCCAAGCGAATGGAATACTGCTTTACACAAATAGTCCCTTTCAATGCAAGAGAAGTTGCTTATCTGGATAATATACAGAGAACCTTCACTGCACATATAAGTATAATTAAGCATCTCGGTTACTGGGACCGTTTGAAGTTCCTTGACCTGTACTCCTTGGAATGCAGGAAAGAATGATACATAATTTACACCTAGAAAATCCTGCAGGGACTGATCCCAAACCTGCACATAAAAATCACTCCCTACAAAAGCAAAAGACTAAGCAGATGTTAGAACATACCCCCTATGAAACACAGGGGTGCCATGAGTACACTAAGAGAAAACACAGTAAGTGTCAAGGGCCCAAGACTTCAAATAGCCTCCCAGCATATACAAGGGGAATTGACAATAGACCCCTGACTATCTTCAAGAAAACTGGACAGATACCTAAAGTCAGTACCTGACCAGCTGGGCTGTGGTTTGTACATTGGATTGCATGTAGCCAGCAGTAACAGCCTGGTTGATCAGGCCCTGATCCACCAGGCGGCCTGGTTATGATCAAGCTACTGGGGCACTGACCCTGAAACACCCTCCAGGTAGACTCCAGGCATGGGCTAAGGGGTCTCTGAGCCTATGGAACAAACATGCCGAGGAAGATACCACTGATC